ATCGATTTCTATGATTATTGTGTTCATTTTGAACGTGGAGCTAATCTGAAAATCGGCATTTGTCTATGTTTCTCTGTCAGATCGACTTTCCGGCGGTAGACCAAGACTACTGAAATTACACGCTATCCCCATAATTTTGAGTATGGCGATAATCGCTTTTGGGGTAGATGAAAGTTGTTTGGCTACTATAACTTATACGAAGCATCGAATGAATTAATGTATGCCTTTTTATCGTATTGGCATTGTGTGAAAATATATTTCAGTAAAGTCATTTAGCGAAGTTGTGTGTTTGTTGATAACGAGATGCATTCACATTATGAGTACAGAGGTGAGAGTAATTAAACATACGACTCCCATATAACGAACAGTGCAGGTAATTGACTCAATGATTTGTGAATGAGCTTCTATAGTTAGGATCATTAGTTTCTTCTGTGATTTCCCCAATTCTCGTTACTTACGGGCGCTGGAGCGAGGTAAAATATACATAGACAAAGTAACTATATGAAACATTTTGGAACAAAACGCGTTTTATTAGGCATGTTGTGTAACTGAGCTGAATAGTTAGCACTAAAACTCAACTCAAATAGTTAGCACTAAAATTCAATTACTGAAATACGAATCTTGTTTTACTTGTGTAATTATATTGTTTTCACAATCACACAAATAAACTAAATAGTGCCATCTTCATTGTCGTTAGACTTCAGAAACCCCTCCTACAACAACAATGATAGACAATATTGGCCCATGGCATCGTTATTGGGCTTTTAATTAACCTCGCATTTCGTCAGCAAATGTTATAAAAAGATGTCAACATTCCAAAAATGATGTCAACATTCCAACGCCTAATCGCGCATCACCGAGGCAATCGTGAGTTGTCAATGTCATGTTGTTAATGTTTCTCAGTAAATTTTCATGGAACGTGAGTTAGTAACTGCTCAGAGAACTAAAGAATCTTTAGTTGTCTTACGTAACTGGAAGCTCTACCCTCTAGAGGCGTCATCGTTGTTATTTTATACACATGAATCGCCGGTCGGCTCTTACTAGCACACTGGTTTATGTCAACACGTAGACTGCTGTAATGCGCACCCGTATCGACCATATTCCTATCGGCAATATGTATAATACAAATGTCACAAGAGGTAGTAGCACGGTACAATTATGTACCTCAACTCAACGTGAATAAAGAGAACTTTCTAAAGTACGTCTCCATTTAATATATGACTACTCGGCTCATAATGGAGCCATAATTCTCTGATTGTGGTCATTTTATGAAATGGATAATCTCCTCAGGCTTGGATACGTGCATGAATCGTCTTCTTGTACTTCGTACCAGGCGAAACTAATCCATTCTAACGATGCATGCGTTGTTTACGAGCAACTACTTAACCTGCGTACGGATAGGCGGGTTTGGCAATGTGCTTTTACGCGCAATGAATGGTGAAAGTGTTAAATCGCGCATGAATATGAATATGGTACCATCCATCTATAAGTGAATATTAGGTTCATCATTCAGACATAAGTGTAATTACTCAGAATGCGAGTTTGAAGTCTCATTTATAATCTCGGTTGTGTTCTCTCGCACGTACGTTCGCCATGGGATACGAACACAATATATGTTTGACTACTCAGCTTAGCCACTGCCTGTGCCTGTCCTCTCCTGGTTAATTATGGGCTTCGCCGTGTATCGGAACCCGGGAAACAGGCGCTAACATCAACCGAAGAGTGCTGCTATGTTTATATGCAATCTGAAAATAATAATGTCTCTGCTCCTAGTAACTGGATATCCGTGTGCAGTATAACAAAAGATTTAAATCGAACGTCGTCTGAATGAATGAATATTAATTATTTAAAAACATTGTTTATTTTATTTTTGCAGGACCGAAACTCAGCACAGTGTTGCCTGGCATAGTTGACTACAAAATGGATGATATATTTTCTTTAACTAGACCCTTAGTCAGCTTTACATGGGATGATGTGAGTTTATGTTAATTTTTGATTTACAAATTATCACAATTACAGAGTGTTTTAATGTGGTGGTGATACATGGTCCTTGTCAGGGAGGAGCACGTCCATTTACACAAATTTAATTGTGAATGAAACACTACGATAAAGACATTCCGTTTTAGACATTGTGAAATTGTTTCGTTTTTGGAAATAAATGATTTTGACAAAATAATTTAAAATAATAATATTAACAATAATAAATAATTATTTATAGTAAAAATAATTCATTACGAAATGTATTCTCTATTCACCATAAATAACCGATTACACAAGAATATTACAGAAAAAAGATATATTCTCTATATTTTCGCGTTTTATTTGTCTTAAATTATGACTGAAATAAGCTGGATGAAATTAGAAACTGTGTAGTGTGTTCAACAATAGTACTCATGTATGAACAATAATAAATATGATTTTACTTGTATAAAAACGAAAGAATTTCACAATGTCGAAAACCGAAAAGCTTTATCGCGGTGTTATGGGGCGTTTTATTATTAGCGTTATTGACTTAATTATATATTTAAACTAAAGGCGCGTGACGTAACAGGAAGAACGTTTATTCATTTGCATCTTCATAGAATGTCCTTCAATATACCATAACAACGTACCGTGTATATTGGAACTCTCCCCGTGAAATTAAATGGAACAAACAAATCACTATCGGTTGACAGCAGACGTATATCTGACTGTGAGCAGCTTGAAAGCGTTATCGGGCTTCATTGAGATATAATTAGACTTTTTTTTATCTGTGTCGTGATAAGTAAATGTCTTAGTACGGGCGTGACGTGTTGTTTTAACCCCTTGTCGCCACCAATACATACACAGGTATGCAACACTACGAAAAGGTCACATGTATTTCGTGTTCACTGTCACATACATGTGTCAATGGTAAATATTAGAAAGGCGAAAACACATCTAGTAAATAGTCAGATTTCTCAGTGGACTTATTATTTCAAATCTCTATCGCCTACTTGTTCCCGGACTTACTCACAGTATACAGAGTACGAATGAATGTATGAACTTTTAACATAGATATAAGGCCAACTTGGGTCAATACAATTAAACGTGATTACTCGTCCATGTGATGTGGTATAGATGCAAGCATGAAATCTTTCATTCACATGTCTTGTTGCCAGTTTTTAATGAAATTAAGCTATTTTTTGAAGTCAATGTTAATTGTGTTTAATTAAAAGATATTGATAATTATGACGAGAAATCTACTCCAGCCTGATTTAAAAAATGGTGCGCTTAATCTGTAACTCAATTTTGTCATCAATGTACGAATTTTAAATGAAAATACTTAATGCATATTTCAGAATGGGCAAACAAATCATTTACCTTCTTTTTTGACCAAAAAGCTTGATATCATGTCTGTTGTGATTAAGAGAAATTCGTTCCTATTTTGCTCTGCACCAGTTGCTCATTTATTATCTATTTAATTTTATAGTTAGTTGAAATATAATTTAATTAGGCAATATAGGTCCACTCAGTGTGTATGAAATTGTCCCCAAGTTTGTTTTTAAATGCTTAAGAAAAGTCAACATTTTTGATGTTTCGACTGAAAATGACATAGTTATGTTAGATAGATTTAAACCAAAACAAGTTTACATATGGGACTTCCTATGTTTTACCTTTCCATCGAGATGGAATAAATGATTATGTCAATTATTTTATGTTTACATAAAAAGCTTCCACTACGACCCTGAATTACCTTAAAATTTGTGGTCGACACAAACAGTGATATTAAAAGAACATTGGCAGTATTTGCCATTTCAGATGGTACCGATACGCAAACGATGTAATTCTCTTTTTCATCGGAATTGTTTTTGTAAGGTGTATCATAATTTTAATTCAAGCTGTTTTGATACAAGAATAACCATATTTATGGGGGGAAATATTAGAGAAAACCACGTGGTTTGAAATGATGGACTACCATATATACAAGTAATGCTTCGTCAACTTTTCCGATATGTGTAGCTATGTAAAAACGTGGTATAATTTAATAATTTGCAATACACATGGCGTCATATTTGTATACGATATTATAAACTTAGTTTGTGAAATGTGATTGGAGTGAGGTATTAACAATCGTTGTATATTTTAGTTCATTGTATTACTTTGTAGTATGTTGTTAATTTGATTCATCTCGACCTGAACAGCGCAATGTACTTTGATTACTGTCGACTCACTGACGGTACCCGTTTACAACTAAAAAAAATCCGTCATGATAAGATGTGTATCAGTATTTCAAAGGTCATTTCCAAAATTTGAAAAAGAAGAAAAAAAATATTCCACAAGTTCCATCTCACACATCTGATACTCAGTGTGGAATCATGATTTTAGTTATACATCCCCCAACTATTTCATAGACTTGCAAAAATCTTATTTTCCCAATTGGGTGTATCAATAATGTGTCACTTTATCATATAAATAATTCTGTGTTTATCTATTGTCGACTTGCATTGTGGCATTTATTGGTGGATAGCTTGACTCAATACAACCAAAACCAGACTACCTAGAACACTGTTTAATGGTGCCGATAACCCTACGGCGTTAAAAAACCCTACGGACGCTTAACAGGCGTATAACTTGATCATGCGAGTGGTGGAAACGAGCCTGTCGATGACCTAACGGACAATCAATACTCAGAAGCAGGCCGTAATGACAGATTTAGGTTATCTGAACCTCGTAAAGACATACTTTGTGGTCGTATCGATTCAGTTTTGTTGTCTAAGTAATGAACAATTTCGTAAAACGTAATTAGGCATTTGTTATGATAGTAAACTGTAAACACATATATATTATTATAAAAACTGTTCTTGTATTTCACGTAAAATATTGTTTCTGGTTTTTTGTAACCTATACCAGCTATCCCTTCCTAATGCATCACCGTTACTAAAAAGCACGGTACCATCAGAGTCACATGTATTAACATCGTGTTCACCGTCACATGCGTGTGTCACTGGTATATCTTAGAAAGGTCAAAACACATCTACTAATAAATAGTCAACGCCGATTTCTCCACGGGCTTATTATTGTTAAATCTCAATCGCCTACGTGTTCCCCGTACTTGTTCTCAGTATACAGAGTACAAGTAAATGTATGGACTTGTAGCATAGTAAGGTCTACTTAGTTCAATACAAATTAACATGATTACCCGTCAATGACAGAACGGGTGTTTTTCTTGTGATCGTTTTTTATCTTGAGTATAACGGAGTATATTAGACTCGTCTAGTTGAAATATGCAGACTGTGTCAAACTGGGGTCGACAATCGTCATATTAAGAGAATATATATTGATTCCTGAAGTTTGTTATGACAGTTATACTGTCTTATCTTGGTAAAACTACAGTATTCACCAATAAGTACCCTGTATACGTTTTCACGCCGTACAAATAACCGTGCTGGTTTGAATACCAGCGCCCGACGTGAACAAAATGAGTGCAGAACGCTGTCGGCGACGCATATTTATGCTGCAGTCGTTTATTATCGACATAAAAAAATACTACTCTTCGAATTATTTGTTGTTCTTTTGTGGGTTTTTTTTTTGTATGATTGTTTTTTTAAATAACGGATAGCATTACAGAACAGATTACTAGAACATGCCTATCGTCTGTCATATTTGGTTTAACGGATTGACGAATGACGATTGGCGTGGTTTCGGCATGAGCCAAGTGGGTCCTAAGTAAGCCCCGATGCGGTCCTGGTTAGCACGAACGCAACTGCTGCAATCTCTTAGCGAACACGTAGGATAGAAAACATTCGGCACGTGCCAAAACCTCGTAACGTAGCTATTGATTCTGCATTATCGACATGTCTGCAACATGGATTATAACGTCATGGGACCGGTCATTATTGATTGTATGCCGAATATTGAGTTGTATGTTATTTCTGTGATTTTTTTTCTATATTGATATTGAAAAGTAAATTGTAGGTTATTCTCAACATTGGTTATCAACGTACATTATCAACAGCAAATGCATGGGAAGTATATCTGACTACATTTCCTAAACATAATGAAGTTGAAGTAACAGAATATCAAATGATAATCAAGAACACAAGTACAAGTTTGTCTCGTATTCGTAATCCTATATTCTGAATCGTAATTTGGTAACATTTCTGAATAGACGTATGCAAAAGACGTTTTTGACGTCTAGTCTTTTCGGTGCGTGTTTGATTTGGAATGTCAACCATATATTCGCAGTAAACGGTTATGTTTCAAAATTGTATACCAATCTTATTAGTGAGTGTCGAGTCTTGTGTCGTACACGCACGAGTACGTCATTTAATGAGTTACCCCTCACATTGACACGGATTAGCATCGAGCTCCTTAACTGATTGATTTGTACACACACAAAGTGTCGTAAACAAAATGGGCTAGAACGTGTTTTTTTCCTAAAATCGTTTTTCTTTCAAAAAACGCCATGCCAAAGTATGAAATAGTACCCGAGGGATTTGTGGGGTATATACTAGCACTGCTATCTACATTGAGACCATAATTACCTTACATACGGGGTATTATCGTATTGCTTTAACGTTCATTCAACGTCTCCGTCGCCGCGTACCACACTTTAGTTTAGGATCCAATAATTCTGTCGAAACACTTGATATACGAGGCATGTACCTGTTAAATCATCGTCACTTGTTGCTTGAGGGGTTTGTGGCATATATTTACTACAACCCCAATCAATACTGATACCATAACATGCATTATTAACTAAAAACAATTCGGAGAAGACAATATCGTACTAAAAAGCGTATGTGACGTCACAATTAATGGAGTAGTTGGATGTAAGAACGTCGTCCGATTAGACAACCCTGTTGGCTATGAAGTTGGTCGTCATTTATATATATATCTAATTTATAAAAAAAGAATATATATTCACTGATCAAAACAATATCGTAAACAGCGTTCCTTGCACCCTTTTACGTCACTGAAATGCATCACCACTAGATGGCGCGATTTATATC